AGAGCTCAGGAGAAGATTTAAAGGGCAGTTTGAGAAGACAAAACAAAATATTGTAATGGAATGTGCTGAAAGCTGGTATTGGAGAATAAAAAGGGAAGAACTCGTTTGGCATTTCTCAAATTGAACGGAAAAACAAATTCAAGCCTCGAGTTGCAATGCTTAGAGATGCTATGAGCAAAATCTTGAGTGATCCAGGAAGCATTAAAAGAAGATGGAGAATCACTGTACCAAAAAGAATTGGCCAATACGGAAATATTCCAGGAAATAACATGATCAATTGGCAGCATCAGGATGGATGGTGAAGAGATTGTTCACAGCTTTAGTTTGCTTGGCTCCACCATCAACACTCTTGGCACCAGCAGCCAAGAAATTAAAAGATGTATTGCGATGGGAAAGTCTGCTGTTAGGGACCTCTTCAAAGTACTGAAGAACAATGGTGTCACTCTGGAGACTAAGGTGCACCTGGTACAGACTATAGTCTTTGCAGTCACTTGCTATGTATCAGAGAACTGGACAATGACTAGGGAGAATAGAAGGAGAATTGATGCCTTTAAGCTGTGGTGTTGGAGAAGAGTATTGAAGGTACCATGGACTGCTAAGAAAACAAACAGATTCATCCTGGAGAGGGTTAAACCAGGCTTCTCCTTGGAGGTAAGGATTCTGAGGCTTCGTCTATCATACTTTGGACATGTTGTAAGGAGGGACTGGTCCTTGGAGAGGGACATCATGCTTGATAGGGTGGAGGGACAGCGCAGGAGGGAAAGACCCTGTATGGGGTGGGTTGATTCGGTGATTGGGGTAATCGGGATGGTTTTGTCAGACGTAGTGACATTGGCACAGGACAGAGCAGAGTTTAGGGCTGTTGTACATAGGGTCGCTATGAGTCGCAAGCGACGTGACGACACATAACAACAACAACAGCAACATGATCAATCGCCAGTGGTTATGAAGGATGAAGTTCAAGCTGCACTGAAGGCACTGGCACAAAGTAAGGCCCAGGAAGTGATGGGATACTGATTGGTAGCCCTGGACATGCTCAGCAGTCTGGGCCAAGAAATTGGGAAGACCTAGCTAACTGACTGGAAGAGATCTAGATTTCTTCTCATTTGCAAGATTATCTGTTACCTTTCATATTTGTTGTTGTTGTGTACCATTGTACTGCTGAACTGACTCTCAGCTTTAATAGGCAGTAAATCACTTGGGAGGAGATTGCCCATCTTTCTCCCATGTGCCTTTGCGTTGGCAATGCAGCTCCTTACTGCTAGGCCAGAAGGTCATATGCTACACTCTGGAGAAATTCCCCTCATATCTGATCAGGGTTCTGTTGCATTCTACCCTTAATCCTCTGGCGGTTAATTTGTGTATGAGCTAATAGGGATAGCTTCCACATTATGTCATGACAGACTTGTATTTTGTATGAGGTACAGTTCAATCCTTGACATTCGCAAGGAATCGGAGTCATTTCAACAGCCGCTAACAGTGATAGCTACAGATTGGCACGGTGGCAGTTTGAAGTCACAAGCCATAGGAGAAAGATGAGAACCTCTATTTCTGCAAAGATTACAGCCTAAAAAAATCTCTGTGGGCATTGTATTCCATTGTATGAATGTACTACAATTAGACTGTCTCGTTGTGGTTGGACATTTGGGCTGTTTCCATGTTTTTGCAATGGTGACTAATGCTGCTATGAACATTGGTGTACAAATCTCCGTTTGTGTCTCAGTTCTAATATCCTTAGGGTATATTCCTAGTAGTGGAGTAGCTGGGTCATATGGAGTTTCTATGTTCAGTTTTTTGAGGAAATGCCAAACTGCCTTCCATGTGCTTGTACCATTTTATAGACCCAACAATAGTGTATGAGAGTTCCCAACTCTCCACCTCCTTTCCAGCATTTATTGCTTGCTGCGCTGCTAAACTTGTCCATTGCAACTGGGTTGAGATGGTATGGAATCCTATGCAACACTTAGAAACAGTGATTTAAAAAAATAATACATAACTTGGGAGAGACAGGAGAGCATTATGTAGAATATTAAGTCAGCCTCCTAAGGACAAATACTGCATGAGACCCTGACTGTAAAAATAGAAGGATAACTAGTAAAAGATGTATGGGATTCAAGTGAGAAGGGATGGGAGCAGAGGCAAGCATGTGGAGGGGGCTAAATCACAGGATTGCACAATTTAGTGGGTGAAAGGAGGGAGTAAAGGAAATGGGAAAGATCTGGTGGGGACCCGAAAGGACGGGGTAATGGTGGGAGTAGTCCAGAGATGAAATATTTGATAATATTTTATAAATTAATGCATAGGAATGATTGTATTGAACACAGTGTGAATGAATAGTGTGAAACACAATGTGTATGAACTTGGTAAGCAAACCAATATAAAATAAAAGCTTAAAAAAAACCGCACAGGAACCACCAGACAATTCTGTGGGCCAGTTGTATCTTGTTCTTGTCAAGTCAGTCTGAGTTAGAATTGACTTGGGGACAATGACAAACATGCTGCGTATCTTTATTGTGTGTTACAGGATAGCTAGGGAAGTGGCAGGTGGTGTTAGCTTAGTGGCTGCTCATGGCCCGGCTCGAGGTTGATGCCTGCTAATGCTTGAATGTCCACCACATGAGTGGAAGTTCACTTAATTCAGTTGTGGATCAAGTTCTTCCCATATTTGGACCTTACCTCCATTTTCTCCTGTCACATCTCTCTGACACTGGTTTGGAAAGTTTCTCTGCATTTAGCACTTTAGTGATTAGAAAATCCAGAAGAAACTGCTTGGTTTAAGATTTATGACATATCTGCAGAGTTTTTGTGGATTTTTTCCCTCCCTCTTTCCCTGCACATACATATTCACAGCATCAGTTGGTTAAAATGTAGGTATCTTTCCAAGTTACCCTGAAAGAGGGTTGACCCACCTTCCTGAGGTCAGGAGCTAGAAAAAAGGATAGATTCCCAAAGTTGGAATGGAATAATTTTCTTTTCTTGGAAGAAAGGAAGAACATCCGACGTACATAGCTGTTGTTCTCAAGACAAAACAACAAATAGGATAGCATTGAAGTTAGTTTAAACAAGTAGAGCTAATTTTTCTCCATGTTGCTCACATATGTCTTAAATCCTTTGAAAAAGGAAGACTGATGTGGGCCCAGTGTTGCCTTTCAGTTTTGCTGTCTGTGGTGCAGAGAGGGAAATGAGAGTCAGTGCTGCCCAGGCCCAGCCAGTGTCAGTACCGAGTCAGGGCCTGAGGACCAGCTGTCATCCCCACGTCTTTCTTTTTTTTAAAAAAAAAATTAGAAATCTCCCTACCTTTTATTATGTTCTATAAATATGATTTTTTTCTCCTTTTTTTAAAATCGTGATTTTAACAAAAGTTTTCAGAAAACTTTGATTGTCATTCATTCATTGTTGCACATTTTCCTCGCTCTCCAGTTTGCTTTTTTGAAAAACAGTCATCCATTGTTGCACAACATTCTCACTTCTGACAGGAGGCAGGTTTTATCCCATCTTTAAGTCCAAGAATGGGTGCTTAAAACATTTTTTCTGTCTGGGAAGAGAATAAGAAGAAGTGAGAATGTCCTTTAGGGATGAATTATGTCTGTCTGCCTCTCTGTGTATATGAGAGAGAGACAGGATATGTCCTCCTTTTTTTCTACTCATGTGGATGATCACTGATTCTCAGGGCAAGAGTGTATGCTGTTTAGGATGGTCTTGTGAGAGTGTCTGGATTCTTATTTTTTTATAATGTCACTTCAGAAGGGCATAGACAGTTCTGTTTTGATTGTTGCTAAAGTACATGGACATGAGGATGCATTAGCTGTCAGGAATGAGTTTCAGTTCATTTGGAGTACACAGGTATTTTGTTTCATGTGCTTCATTTTATTGTGCTTTATGAATATGCTTTTTTTTTTTTTGTAGATTCTAAGTTCATAGCCACCTTACTTTGTGTAAATCTTTCAGCACCATTTTCCCAGCAGCCTGAGTTCACTTCTTGTCTCTGGACCACAAATTGATAATTCTCACAATACTTCCAACTTTTTCATAATCCTGTTGCACATGCGGCAGACTGCTGTATAGTATAAGCATAACTTGCAGATGCATTGAGGGGGAAAATATTACTGGCTCACTTTGTTACCATAGTTGCTTCATTGAACCTGCCACTTCTCTGAGGTGTGCTTGTATTGTTGGCAACATTAGTCATTTTCTTTTTTTAGTAAGTAGTTTTATTTTTGTTGTTGTTAAGAATATATACAGCAGAACATACAGAAATTCAGTAGTTTGTTTTCCCACAAGTCTATAATTATGATTCTTGTCCTCCCATTGTGCATCCATTCCCTGCCTCCTTTTTCAGAATTGTTCTTCCTCTATTAACGTACATAACATAACTGCTCCCTGAGTGTCCTATTAAATCTTTCTGGTTGCTGTTGCCGGCCTCACCCAATACAGACAGATGTTAAAAGAGCACAGTGCACAAGACAAACACTCTTGGAGGAGATTGAACCAGGATGCTCCCTAGAGGCAAGCACGGTGGAACTTCATCTCACATACATTGGCATGTTATGAGGAGAAGCCCAGTCCTTGGAAAAAGACATCTTGCTGGGAGAGTAGAGGTTCTGCAAGAGAGGGGAAGACCTTCGGTGAGATAGGTTAGCACAGTGGCGGGCAGCGAGGAGCGAGGACGTGACAGAGATTGGGAGGATGGCACAGCAGAGCACACGGTTTTGAGCTGTTGTTCCTCGGCACCGTCAGTCATCATGGGCTTCACAGCACCCAAAGCAACAACACTGCGTGTTGTGTAAGAAGACTTCAGGGATATTTTCGTAAGCTTTAAAGGTTACCTTAGGCCAACAGTTTCCGAAATTCATGAACTTTTGGTTTTTAAATGTTTGTTCACTGGAGGATTGAAAAAGGACGTCTTACTGTTATATAAATTCTTCCATTATTTGTGAGGTCTTATGTGTCTTTGATTAATTTTTAATATGGTTTCTAATAGTGGTGTTTCATTTTTAAAGGGAGATTCTACTGTCGTTGGAACTAGTCGGCTCCGGGACTTGTATGATAAGTTTGAGGAAGAGTTGGGGAGCAGGCAAGAGAAGGCTAAAGCTGCCAGACCACCGTGGGAGCCCCCCAAGACGAAGCTGGATGAGGATTTAGGTGAGTGGGGGAGTTAACATGTCTCCCACTGAGACCCAAAACTTTTTTATTACTGCTTCATCCTGACGCTTTGTGACGTTGCCCTTGTGTGCTCCAACTTGAAATTTCTTCTTTTCCTCCATTGTTGTTGTTGTGTACCATCGAGCCAGAACAGACCCATAGCTGACCCTCTGGCAAATTTTCAGAGGAATGGGAGGAGATTGTCCATCTTTCTCCCATGGAGCAGCTGGTGGCCTTGAAGTGTTTGCCTTCAGGATTGCAGTGCAACTTCTTGCCACTAGGCCACGTACTTTCTTCTTTTTGCTCTGAAGTTCCTTACCGACAGTAAAATACATAAAGGATCTCATTTGTAAGGCATTTAACAGTTTTGTCCTTTATAGAATTTTTTAGTCTTAGAAGGAACCCCAGTCCCTCCTCCTCAGATACAGGAGCCCCCTCCACTGCCTTTGATCATGAACGAGGTCCACTCGTTGACCCTGTCCACTGGCAGGGCTCCTGGTTTCTTCAGGAAATGGCAGCTCTGTTGGAAGATTTCTCTCCACTTACAGAGATGGTTTTCTATAACTTTCCCTTTCGCTGGTCTGCTTCTTCCATGATCTGAGATTCCAAGTAAATGGTGAACTCTTTGAGCAAAAAAACCTTTCATTTTACTATTTGTGTTCTTATGCCACACGGACTGCGTTCGACTTGCCTTTTCTTACATGCCTCTTGTCTCCGGCCTTCCCTCAATGGCCAGCATCACTCACTGCACATGCTTTACCTGGGCGGTATTCAGAGTTGATTGGAGCATTAACTCGAGCCAGACTGTGTGCGTTTTTTTTCCTTGATGTGGGCCTGTCAGCATGTAATTTCACTTCTTGCTGCTTTAGTTTTTCCATCTGGAAAATAGGGGTTCACAAAACATCATGCAGGAACTGTGTGATAGCCACGTAAATGTTAGCTTTCAGTATAAAGCTGTGGCCTAGGGGTAAGCAGTTTGTGGCCAACCCAAAGGCAGATGGTTTTTGATCCACTAACTATTCCAATGAGAAAGATAGTCTCCTCTCATGAGATTTACAGCCTCTAAAAACCCACTGAAAGGGTCAGCAATTAGCTCTGACTTAACAGCATACATTAGCATGTTATTTTTTCTAGATTAATCTACATTTTGAAGTTTTTATAAATAAGTATATTCCTCATTAAAGTTTTGCTAAATAAGACTTTAAAAAATTTTAAATCAGAAAATGTTTAAGGTGAAATTCTTGAAAATGTTTAAACTTACACAGACTTCGTTTTTTAAAAACATTACTCTTACAAATAGACAATTTGAAATGGTTTCAAAGTGAGCAAATTCAGACATAAAATTTTAGATAGCAAAAATAACACTTCAGGGCTTCATGCATCCTTTTTCTGAAAGTGTACAGATTCTTTAAAGCAGTCCCACTTTATCTGACAATGCTTTGGCATTATTTGATAATATTGACCGTGCTTTTCTAAGAAGGAAGATTGATATTGTTCATTTTTTTAAAAAACTATAAAAATAAACATCTTGAGATATTTAACTTCCAGAGAGAGTTAGTTTAGTCACTCATCAAACATGATTGAATAAGCAAATTCCAAAATTTTAAAATGAAATAATTAGATGTACAAAATTTTACTTGTATGTTCAAGTAAAATTAAAATGAGCATGCCACATGCACAGAACTTAAACTCAAATTGTAAAAATTGAACTAATATGATTTAATCCTAATAACCTTTTCATAAGTATAATGCTGATAGTATTAATCACTTAGATGTCTTGTTTTTAAATGTATTAATTATCATTATACTGAGAACCACTTCAGTCTATCAACTTTTTTCTATTATTTGCTAAGAAGAATCTGATTTGCTGATAAGTATTTATTTGCAGTACAAAAAAGGCTACAAATAATTAAGATCTTTATAATTCAACCATATTGTGCTCTTCACCCTCAAGTACGCTGTCTAAAATGATTAGAAATATGATAGTTTCTTTTGAATTAAAAAACTTCTTTATAAAACTTTGAAATGAAATCTGACAAATAGAATAAAATTGCTAGTACTTTTAATTCTTCTCCTTTCTGTTAAGATTTAGCTGCGGGTAACCAATGTTTTGAAAAGAGCTGTAGCAGCTTAGAAAGTTTCTCAGCAGAACTTTTCCAGACCAAGTTAAGCTAAAATGGCCTAATCTGACCCTATAAAGAAAAAGTGTCCTTTTAATGCTTGTTAGTGTGGACAGGGCTGTTTTCCATCTTGTCTGTTGTCAGGGTGATGGCTCCATCCAGCAGTGTAAAGTAGCTCGTGGCTGTAATGCCTGCTGCTGTTAGGTGCTGTCAAGTCGTTTTCTGCTCATAGTCACCCCTGGGAATGGAGTAGACACGCTCCATGAAGTTTTCTGGTCTCTGATCTTTATGGGATTGGATCGCCAGATCTTTTTCTGGTAGATCTTTACTACCCTTTCCGTTAACAGCCTACTAACTTACTGGTTGCACTCCCAGGTCCCTTTCCCATGATGCCTGGAAGGCTAGAAGTTGGCTTGCCTTGACAGTGGGTTGATGGTGGATGTTTGTGCCACTGGGAGCTTGAAGACTGGTTCAGAGAATGATTATATGGCTGAAGGGCTGGGATAAATTCCGATTGGCCCAGATGTGGAGAACCAGACTGTCCACCACAAGCTGTCTGTCTTAAGACATTGTCCCTCGCTGCTTGCCTCTGAAAATTCGCTGCAGAAGAGGAACTTCTGTCCCTAGTCCTTTTGTCCTTACTGCTCGGAGATGTATGGGTTGAACTTGAATTTCAAGGTGATGGTGGGAGTTGATAAACTGGCCACTCATGATCTAAACTGATTTCTGATGGGCCTTCCCAAAAGTTTGATGCCCTTCAGTAAGCTTGTGATGGGGACTGTGTGTTTGAAATCCTCCGATGCACTTGCCCTGGTCTGCCATTCTTCACTTCATGATGGCCTTGCCTGGTGGGAAAGTTTAAAGAGGACTTTACCTCTTCACGGTTTCCATAGAGAGCTGTGTTAGTTTGTTACTTAGTCACTAAAAGACTAAACAATTTCTGTTGCTCCATTTAGAGGAAAACAATGTCCAGTCTTTAGTATTGACTCTTACGCCCTGGAGCCCTTTTGACCCCTTGCGTCCCAGGACTTCTCTGTGGGGCCTTTGCTGCACCAGTGATGACTCTCATGGGTGCTTGTGTTGTTTTGTACCATCGAGTAGGAACTGACTCCTGGCTGACCCTCCGGTGGGTTTGCGGAGGCATTAAATGGCACGGGAAGAGATTGCCCATCTTTCTCCCTTGAGCAGCTGGTGAAATTAAATCGCAATGCCTTTGGGCTGGCAGAACAACTTTTTACCTCTCAGCAGCCGGTGCTCCCCTCCAGCACACGTGTGTGCTCTTCCCCCATGGTTTTGCTTATAAAGTGTCTCTGCTTTTCTTTCTTCCTTGCCTCGCAGCCTAACTTCACCCGGCCTCCCTGCCGAGGTCATGCTTACTCCCTCCATGGAATCACAGTAGATTGAAATCACAGTAGACTGGCACTTTTCTGAATCAGGGTTCTTGTGTGCAGAGAAGTCAATTCTGACTCAGAGCGGCCCTATGTGATAGAATAGCACTGCCCCATAGCATTTCCTTGACATACTGGGAGCTCAGGTTGCTTAGTGAGTTAGGAGTTGGACTGCTAACTTAAAGGCAAGCAGTTCAAATCCACTGGCTGCTCCTGGGAGGAAGAGAGGCAGTCTCCTCTGTGCAATCTATCACCTTTGAAAACCCACTATAGGGTCATTTATGAGTCGATTTGGACTCTTTGGCAATGAGTTGAGTTGACTTGACTCATTATGGGAGTAGATTACCAAATCTTTTCCCCTGTGGATATGCTTGGTTGGTTTGAAGCTCCAACCTTTCACTTACAGCTAAGAGCCTATCCATTGCACTAGGCAGGGCTCATTTGAATTGCTGCTGCTTTGAAACCACCTAGTATTGCTGTATTTTTCATTTTGTCTGGCAGTGTTCATTGTGTCTTAGATTCTCAGTTAAAAAAAAAAAAGAATTATTGCGTTCTTTTTTCCTCAGCTCGGATTTGACTTTGCACTTGGACTGCATATTGTTTCCCCTGGCATTGCTTAGCAGTGCGTGGTGCAGAAATAGTGGCACACATCCCATTGCCGCCATCGACGATGCCTCAGGACAGCCCTGTACTGCTCAGTAGAACTGAGCTCCGTACAGTTTTCTTGCTTCTTTACAGAAGCAGATTGTGAGAATTTTTGTCTTGTGGTGCTGGACGGATTTGAACTGACAACTTCTTGACCAGTAGCTGAGAGCAAACCACTTGTGCCAGTCAGGGACCTTTGTGTGCAATAGCTAGTCAAGTAGTTGCTGGAAGGATAAACAACAGTCCTTAACACTTAGATGTTTAGGTCATTTGGAAGTTTCCGCCTATCACTGTCATGTGAATTCCTTCAGCATCTCTTCCCATCCTTCTTCTTCCCTCTTCTAGAGAGTTCCAGTGAATCCGAATGTGAGTCCGATGAGGACAGCACTTGCTCTAGCAGCTCGGACTCGGAAGTTTTCGATGTCATTGCAGAAATTAAGCGGAAGAAGGCTCACCCTGACCGACTCCACGATGAACTTTGGTACAACGACCCCGGCCAGGTGCGTATGTTTTTATGTTCTAGCTACAGAGGTGGCAAACCCACACATCACATTTATGGTCCCGGGCTCTGAAGATGCATGTAGGCTGGTATGGAAACAGAATTTTCCTCCCTGGCTTGTGTGCCATTCTTCACAGCTTATTTCTTTTCAGCTTTGAAGTTCAGCCCCAAAGCTTAAGCACCAGAGCAGTTGTTCCTTGAATCATGTTTGACGACGCTGGTAAATTCTGTGTTGGGGAGCAGGATAATGGCACTGCTTCATTAAACTTGCAGTAAACAGAGGGAGAGAAAAGCTAGGATGGGGAAGAGCAAACTTGTAGGTCTTTTTAAAAGCGGTTCACCTGAAAGGTACCTTGCCATAAGGCAGTAAACAATGTCTTAAGTTCCCTCCGAGAGACTTCATATTTCTTACCACAGTTCCCTGTAAGTTCTCTCCTTTGTTAAGCTTGTTTGAGTTATGGAAGTCATCTCTCGCTCGCTCGTTGCCATCAGGTTGATTCCGACCCATAGCGACCCTCCGTCAGGTTACTGAGGCTGGAAGGCTTAATGGGAAGTGGCTGCTCAGCTTTCTCTCGTCGAGCTGCTAGTGGGTTTGAACCACCAGTGATGATTTGCATTTGGTCAGCAGTGCTGTCTGCTATAGCCCGTGCCATCAGCCTGCCTTATGCAATCATAGGTGGACGCGATCATTGTCATTTTACTTTTTAATTGAAAATAACACATAACTATTTTTAGAAAAGATTTTTAACTTAAAGTTAAAAAAATACAAAAGTGCCTTTAATACATGTGTAATTACTGAGAATACTAAAACACATGTCCATAAAAAGATGCTTTAAAATATATGTTTTAAGGGAGCTCTGGTGGCCTAGTGGCAAGACGCTGCACTCCAATCCCAGAGGTACGTTGTTCAAATCTACCAGATGCTCTAATGGAGAAGGAGGGGGCAATCTCCTTCTGTATCAGTCAGATCTGATTTGACGGTACACGTAGAAATAATACAATAAATATATATATATGTATGTTTTGTGACTAAAGTTGCTATTTATATATATCCTAGACACTGAATAATTATTTTGTTAATATGGTGTTAGCTATCATTACTAGGTCTCATTATAAATAACAACGAATGCAATCTTAATTCTGATTAATAGAGTTTATATTAATGTAGAGGGAACTCTCATGGTCTATGGTTAAGAAGCTGCACTGCAATCCCAAAGGTATGTGGTTCAGATCCGCCAGCTGCTGTGTGGGAGCAGGGCGGGCAGTTACCTCCCCTGTGATTTACTGCCTATGTAAATGTGCTGGAGGCTCACCTATGGGTCGGTTAAGACCTGACAGCACACAACAACAACAGTAACATTTTCATTATAGAACAGTATTTGATTTTAATTTGAGGTTTCTCTACCTGGCTTATGTTAGATTATCATTACCTACGTTTGCATTCCCCCCCCCTTGATGTAATTAATATAGTTAGAATGCCTGTCTGAAACAATCTATGTTTTGTTTTCTTTTCTTGCAATTGAACAGGAATATTTGCAAAATTGCCAAGTCATTTTAAACTTAATTTTCCCATATTGATCATGTCTATGACCTTTTTTGCATTCATTTGTGATTTTTTTATTTGAAACAACTTATAATTTTAATCTACATAATTTAGATAATATAAAAATAGATAAACAACAAGAATGAAAATCTACTGTCCTCCAGGGATTTCAAACTCACATCAACTCTCCATTCCATTTCTGAGAATGTGATTTTTTTTTATTTTAATATACTGGTTTACTTACAAAGCTCATATACATTGTTCTTCACACCAGTCTATGACCTTTCTTAGAAAAATCACCTTATTTATATAGCATACATATGCCAGACATGTTACACATTTAAACTGGATAGTCAGCGTTTTCTAATACACTCACCAGCAGAGTCTAATTTGGGAACAGCCTCCCCTAAAGCACCCTCTACTCATCAGCAGTCACTCATCATTTCCTGTGTGTGTTCTTTTTAATTGACTCTTGGTTCTTTTCTCCTACCTTGATTAGCCCAGCTTCTCTGTGGTCTCACTATTCTGATTACAGTATTTGATTTTCTGTCCTCTGTACAGCTGAGCATTATAAGGAACTGCTCTGAATAGGAGCCCCGACCTGAGGAAGAGCAGGAATATGGGCTGTGTCCGCTTCCTTGGGAATCAGCTGCATGTGCTTCCTCCACCCCCCACGCGTCCCCCATTTTTTCTCACAGCAGGTTGTGACCGGCCCCAGGATCATGTTGGAACTTTTGAAGGAGCCTTATTACATCTTTTGCCTGCCAGCTGTTACTCTGTATTAATATCTTAACATGACTTTTTTTTTTAAAGTAATAATGTCATTATTCTTCTGCTATACCACCTGGACCTTCAGATTTCCCCAAAGGGTAAAGAAAATGTTTTTCCTTTGATATTTTCTTTTCAGAAACTTATCGAGCTGTTGTCAGGGATATTTTAATTGACCACAGTCAGTAACAAATACCTGGAACTTTAAAGAAACAGGTATTGTTACCTTTTCTATTAGCCAACTCAACTCAAGCTCAAAGTCATTGCCATTTTGTTGGGACTGACTCCTACCCGACTTTCCAGCAGGTTTCTGAGGTCCCAGATCTCACAGGTACAGGTTGCCTGCGTCTCTCTCGCAGAGCTGGCGGTAGATTTGAACTGCCAGACATGTGATGCCTGTGGGTTTGCACAGCTCCCTGGAGACAGAAGAAATGGAATTTGATTTCCCACTTTGTTCAGTATCCCTGCTTATACTGGCTTAGCTCATGGCGCTGGCTGTAAGGACCTTCAGCTCTGCCTGTTTGTTCTTCTCCCTCCTCTCCTCCACGTGAAGGGTCCTTTCTGTTAAGATGTGTCAGTGACACCAGCATTCTTCCCTCTCTGGCACAGCTGCCATTTTTTCCTGCCTCACTCTGACCTTCCCATTTTGTGTCTTTGAAAACTTCCCTCACCAGGACCCCACTGCCCAATAGAATCTCGGCCTGGACTGTTTTTTACTTCCTTCTTTCTTATTTCTAAGGCTGTTGCATGTTTTTTGTTTCTCCCAAAGAGAATAAATGCTCCTTCAGTACACGGGCACCGTGCTGTCCACCCGTTCCCCTGCCAAGCTCTCATCTTTCCCTTGCGGCGCATGCAGTCATTATCCACGCAGCCACGCAGAGGCCCTGGCGGTGAGGTGAACTCGGGTGGAAAGAACAGAGTCTACCCCGAGTGACAGCTACTGTTTTGCTGGTTCTAGTAGGTATTTGCTTTGCTTCAGAAGTACCTTGAAGTGTCTCTTTTCAAACATTTAATCTGCAGGTCACCTCTGAAGCCTTCGGCAGGTTCCTCCAGAATATTAAATATGCTTTTCTTTTGCCAAAGAGTCAGTTCTCTGGAAATACAAAATAGGAAGACGCACTGCGAAGTGGTAGGAGGAGACGGAGACACGCAGTGTGCTGACATTGATATTTTCTGCCTGGCTGCACAAGGCACCCGGGCCCCCAGTGTTGTCGTCCCACTCCCCTTTATCAGACAGTAGAGACAGTCTGCAGCTTTATTGGTTTTGGAACATCCGCTTAATCTTCTAACCATGACAGCCTCTTCAGAGCTTCGGTCCTCACGACGTTAAAACCCTCACCGTTTTCCCTGGCGGGCTGTGGATTTCCTCCCCAGTAAACACCAAATTCCATTCTGTTTCTGACAGATGAATGACGGCCCACTCTGCAAATGCAGCGCCAAAGCCCGCCGCACGGGGATCAGACACAGCATCTACCCTGGAGAGGAGGTAATGGGCCGGGCCACGCTTTCTCTTCCTAAGTGCTGAGTAGCCCGCAGCAGGGAGGTGCTGTAGGCAGGTGCTGTTGCTGTGCTTTCCCCCAGAAATGAAACAGTCCCCTCAAAGTCGTTTCACATTCCCCCATTGTCTCTGTTAGTGATAATTAGGGAGGATAGAGGGCCTGAGTTTTGGGGCGGCCTGGGACATGGATCACAGACACTTCCAAGGGACTGTGGCTCATGCTTTTAAATAGCCAAGGTGGGATTGCTTGCTTGGCGTGTTAAGGATTTAAAAACTACACACGTTGTAATAATGTTTTCATGCTTTTTTCACAATGGTTATAAATTACTCTGCAAAGGCAGTTTTATTAAAGTGCTAAGGGGTGCATGGCCCTTTTATTCTGAGGGTGGAAGGCAGCTGCTGGCTTCCCACATGAGCTCACTCTTCAGCGCAGCGTCCAGAGATGCATGGTGTTTGTGAGTCTGTCGTTTCCACAACTGTGAATTACCCATGGGCTCGTTTATGACTGTGGCCCCCGGACCCCTGGTCTTTTGAGCACACGGCATAGATGTCTAAATGACAGATTACATCCATGGAGTCATCTCTAGGGCCGTCCGCACACAGTCTTCGTGAATTCTGGATTATCTTTGTGATCTAACACGTTGTTCATACATCTCACTCTGTCGTTGCCGTCGAGTGGGGACTGTGCATAGCGGGCGCTCCATTGACTTTCCAGGGCTGTAAATGACACGGGAGGAGATTGGCTCATCTTTTTTCTTAGATATACTTGCGGTATTAGAGTGCAGAGGTCATCTACTGACTGTATGCCCCATGGCAGAAGGTTTGGCCCTTCCCTGAGGATGGCGGTGCTGGCTGCAGACCTTTGTGTATAAAAGGGTCAAGCCTAGTAACTGGAGCAAGCATTTATTCCCATTAGAACCAGCTGCTGGCCCTTGCAGGTAGGAAGGGGCCTGGGGAGCCAGTTTGCTACCCAGGGAAACTCAGGAGCTCAGCATTGGCATTCACATTGGCAGGTTGGAGGTTTGACTGTGGCAGTGGTTACGTTAGCCTGGGTGGTGTGGTCCACTCGTGTGCCCATCAGGTTTACTCCAGATGCTGAGGGCCAAGTGGCTGACCGGAACGGGCCAAGTTATTTGATTTCCTGGTGGTTTAGTACTTCTTCCTGATGCGGGGGTACCCTCAGGCAGAGACACCCACCTCTGATGAGAGGCCTTCATGCCCACTTTCCTATGTCCATCTGCAGCTCTACATGTCAAACTTTACCTTTGATCTTCTAGTCTTTTTCCTTCGAGGCCACTGGCCTGCTGGTATGGCTATTTGCTTTGCCCTGGAGTCTGTCTGTATTCTAACCTCAGGCACTTCTCTTTCCACACAAAGTGGATACACAGGTACCATGCGATACCTCCCCATTGGGAGGCTTTTCCTTGTTCTGCCATTCGTGGCTGCCTTCAGTGAGGCTGGAGTGAAAGAATTCTCAGCAGGCACCTCATACCAACTGACCATTGCAAAGCCCGCTTGCAATGCCAGCTTAGCTCACATCCTTAGTTATCAGCCTGCAGGTGGGGTGCTGGTGCGGCATCGGACACCCATGGGGGTGTGCGTCCCCTGTTCGTGCACCTTGCTTGGGCACCCTGCTTCTACAGGGGTTTGAATCTGAAGGGACAGCTCCACCTCATGGTGGATTTTCCTGGCCCGATGCATCTTCATGCCTTGATAAGTCCGAGAAAACTCAGCTTACGATGAATACTTGTGGCCACGTGTTTATTTAGTCACCTTGAGCCAGGGCCCAGTTGTTTCCAAAGGTCTGTGGTTTTTTACTATTAATGATGTGATGTTAAGGTCAAACTCGTGAAGTTAACATGAGGACTCTCACTTTAGAACCTTTTCCTTCCAGTCACATCTCCAGTAAAGTTGTGGGGGTTTTTGTGGTTTTTTTGTTTGTTTGTTTGTTTTTACTTTGAAGGATTTCCAGAGCCCTGAGGTCTGGATCCCTGAAAGTTGTATGGAAGTGGTTGTTGTTGTTGTTATTGTGCACTATCAAGTCACAACCGACCTAGAGTTGACCTTCTGGCAGGCTTTTAAGGGTAGTTAATTGCACGGGAGGAGATTGCCCATCTTTGTAACGCAGAGCAGCCGGTAGGTTTGAACTGTGTGCTTTCAGAATTGCAGTGCAGCTTCTTGCCACTAGGTTACGCCTGTGTATCTTGGTAGAATTATTTACCTACCTTCTAGAGCATGTTTGTCTTACCTTCAGCCTGATCCACATACTGTCAAAGATGCAGAGGATTAGTGAAGTACTGTGGTATGTACAGACAGATGAGCTGCATTTTGACATAGGAGCCCTGGTGTTGTGGTGGTTAATTATTAAGCTCCGAACCAGAGAGCTGGAGAAGGGCAGCAGTCGAAGTGACTACAGACTCCTTCAACTCTGAATGAAGCTTGCTGTGTAGCATCTGTGGTGGTGAGCATTGCTCACTCATCCCATTGTCCCTGTAGCTAGAATTTCTTCCATATACTCACATGAGAATCCCAGAACACTTGGTTGTGCTTATGTGAAACCTATACTTGGACCAGGATGCAATTGTCAAGAACAGAGCAAGGAAACACTACACAGTTCAAAATCATGAAAGATGTGCATCAGGAACGCGTCCTGTCTCCATACCTTTTCAACCTATATGTAGAACAGATTATTTGGGAGGCTGGTTTCTGTAAGGAGGAATGTGACATCAGGATTGGAGGAAGACTCATCAACAATTTGTAATCTGCAGATGACACATCCTTGCTCGCTAAAACTCAGGAGGATCTGAAGGGTTTGCTGCAGAAGATCAAGGATGGTAGTCTTCAATATGTATTGAAATTCAGCATCAAGAAAACAGAGATTCTCACCACTGGGCCAGTTGGCAGCACCAGGGTAGATTGAGAAGTGATTGCGGTCATTAACAATTTCAGCTTGTTCAACTTCACAGTCATCACTCTTGGCACCAACAGTCAGGAAATCAAAAGACAAATTGATCTGGGGAAAGTGACTGTCAGGGACCTAAAGAATAACACTGCCAGTCTGGAGACAAAGGTGCACCTGATTCAGGCTGTGAGCTTCACAATTACTTGCTATGCATCAGAGACCTGGATAGTGATTAGAGTTGACAGAAGAAGAATTAATGCTTTTGAGTTGTAGTGTTGGAGAAGAGTGATGAACATACCATGGGCCACCAAGAGAACAAACAGGTCTGTCCTAGAGATGATGAAACCAGGCTGCTTTTTGGAGGCAAGGATTTTGAAGCTCTGTCTCCCATACTTTGGGCACGAGGCCAGGAGATACCAGTCCCTAGAGAGGGGCATCATGCTTGGAAGGGTGCAGGGACAGCGCAGGAGAAGAAGATCCTGGATGAGATGGATTGACATGGTAACTGGTGTCATCAGGGTAGGTGTGTCAGGGAGACTGACACATGCTAGGGCAAGGTTCAGGGCTATTGTACCTAGAATCCCTGTTATCGCAGGCTACTTGATGGCGCATAACATCAACAACAGCACTCAGACACCTGATACTTTGCATCTCTTTTCACCAGTCCAAGCCTTTTGCTGTTGAGATGATTTTGGCTTATGACTCCATAGGATAGGGGAGATGGGCCCCATAAAATTTCCAAGGTGTCATCTTTATGGAAGTTGATCACAGCGTCTTTCTCCCACAGAGTGATTGGTGGGTTCAAATCAACAACTTTTTAGATAGCAGCCAAGTAGTTACGCGCTGTACCGTGAGGGCTTCCTCTTAGACTAGCACAGCCTTCCGAACTGTGCCTGCATCATAACTGGCCTGCCATCTGTGCCTGGACTGGCCATGCTCCTCCCACCTCCACTGCTGGGTCTTCGTTGCCAGTGATTCAGCTCCAAAGCCCCATCTTACCTTCTGCTTTCTTCATCTGCCTCTGTTTTTTGTTGAATGTCAAGTTTTCTAGAAGAAGATTGCTAAGATGGTGTTTGAGGTGTGCAAGTTTTTTAGGGGTTGGGGTTCTGACAGTCAGCCTGACCCAGGTCTGCCATCCTGGTACATTAGAGTTGAGCTGAGATAGCTGGGACCCATCCTTCTGACTGACTCAGATCCTAACCTCCACTGAGGGGATCTCAGCTGTGATAGACCCTAAAGGAGCTGGCCTCTGGGGGCTGATGTGTCTGCCTTTGGGGGGATTTGTGGCCTGCCCCAGGTGCCTGCATTCCAGTTTTGTTTCCGCTCTCTTTTTCTATCAAAACTCTATGCATGTGTCTTGACCTTCTAGCTCAGCACAGCTAGTCGGCCCATTTTTTTCCCCTGGTAAAATCCACTGCCCTTATTTCTGATAGTCATTTTCTTGCCTTTTTTGTTTATTTGAAAATTTAGCTGAAGATCAATTTTTATTTAGAAATACAAGAAAAATAGTTATAAAATTTTAGCGCTAGAAAGAACCTTACAGTATGTTGGAAGATCTCATTGCCCAGGAATGGAGTTGAGAACTGCCCCGTTGGTCAGCTCCTGTTTATCTTTATTCATCTGTCCCCTTAAAGGGAAATTGAATCTGAGCTGTCATTTCCTACCAGTCGGTAAGTATAAATACCTAGACACTTCTCTTGTTAGATGTCATGTTAGCAAATAGTCGATTTTTAGATGAAAATATTTTGCTCCTTTGTTTTTTAACTCACTTGGGGTTTTTCTCCCTCCCAGGCCATCAAGCCCTGCCGACCTATGACCAACAATGCCGGCAGGCTTTTCCACTACCGAATTACAGTTTCCCCGCCTACAAACTTTTTAGTAAGTTCTTAAAACCAGATGCCATTTACTTTAAAATGCGAACATGTTGAAATGACTGATTATATTTTTATATTTAAAAATGTTTTGCCTTACGGTGATAAAATTGGACTTCATATAAATGACTTTCATTTTGGCTTCATTCCACTCTATTACTGTGTCTTTTTCTCATTTATCCTGTTGGTATTGCATAATTCATAATAGCCAAATTCATAATAGTCAGTGAGTTACGGACCTAGTTGTTGGAGCTTTGGACTGAGAAGGATACGTAGAATACTTCTATGTTTCTTAAAAATCAGCCATCTAATGATTTAATAGGAAAATTTCTTGTCTATTTGTGTAACCAGGATGCTCCTTAAAGACAAGGATGATGAAACTTATACTTAGAGCCTATTTCAGGAAGGGCTCTACTCCTTGGGAAGAGACATCATTCTGGGAAGAGGACAGAGACAGTGAAAAAAGAGGAAGACCCTCAATGAGATGAATAGATATAATGACTGCAACAGTAGGCTTGAGTGTGGTAGAGATAGTGAGGTGAGCACAGGATAGAGCCAAGTTCAGGTCTGTTGTTCATAGAGTCCACTTGGTATGAGGGTTGTGACTTTATGGATGCTAACAATATCTAATATCTATTTGGTATGTATTATGCCCCATGTGCCATTTCAAGCATGTTACATGTATTAACATGTTTAGTTTTCACAAGCGGTCCATGAAGTTGATATTATTATCCTTCCTAAACAGATGTGGTAGTAGTCCAAGTTTTACTGATAAACGTTCAGAAATTGCTCAAGATCCCTTAGCTAAATAGGTGGTGGAATGGTGATTTGAACCCAGGCAGCCTGGCTCTGGAGTGTGTATCTGTATGCTGATTCACTAAGCTATATTGCCTTTTATGGTACAGCACTTTTTTAAACTTTGTTGTATTTTTGAGAGATTTTGATTTCAAAATTAGCTTGCTGGTAATTATGATGTATTTTAATGATACTAAAATATAACCCATATGCCATAAGATGAATTCATCTAAAGAGTTTCATCTGTAGTTTTCTGTATATTCACAGAGTCATGATGCCTTCCTTCTAGTCTAATGTTAACATGTTCATCACTCCCCAAAGAAATCCTGTGTTCACTGGCAGTTCTTTGTTATTTTCCTCTGTCTTCCAGCTCTAGGCAGCTACTAATCTACTTCTGTTTGTGTGGATTTATGTTTACCAGACATCTTAAATCTGTAGGCTCATACAACTTGTGAGCTTTTGTGAATGGCTGCTTTCACGTGACACAAAATTTCCACGGTTCATCCAAGTATGAGTCTAAGATGTTGATTTTTATTGTCAGATAATATCCCATTGTGTGGAGATAGAAATATTTTATCTGCTTGTTCATCACTTGATGGATGTGGGTAGTTTCCATTTTGTAGCTATTAGGAATGATGCTGCTGTGAACGTTCCTGTATGCATTTTGTGTATGAAAAACCAGACCTACACTTTGATTTCATTCGGAACGGACTCAAGTCTGGAATTTCCAGGTCATGCGGATGTGTTGACACCGCTACCCAGAGTCCAATTTGAATTCTCCAGCTGCTCCTTGGGAGAATTCTTGACAGTCTCCCCTGTAAAGATTCAGAGCCTCAGAAACCTGCTGGCGCTTGCTCTGAATTGGAATGGATTTGATGGCAGTGTGTTTGCTTTTGGATTTTCTTTTCTTCTTTTTTTCTAATGAAAATTATGTTTAATATTTTGAAGAACTGCCAAATTGTTTTCTAAAGTGAATGCACTATTATGAATCATTTATTTAGAAGTTTGTCCTTTGGAGTTTTATTCCATTATATTAAATTTGAACCTGCTTTAAGTTACTAGAAGAGAAAGTAGTTATAATATTAAAACACATCATGTACATTTGGATAGGCTTTATCTTCTTTTAAACCTTACTTCTCCCACATCCTCTTTGTTTAGTGTTCATAGGGTTTTCTGAAGCCTATAACACCTAAAAGAATAATGTTGAATGTACGTGAATGTAAGAAATATGTCTTTTAGGGTACCAGGCTTGATCTTTAATGCCATATTTAGCATTTGAGAGAGAAAATGGTAAACAGTAATAACAACGGGGGAAGAATCTCTCTCATGCTTAGAGAAACATCAGTGTGTTCTAATTACAGATTCAATTTTCAGGTAACTAGGATCTGTGACATGATGTGAGAATTGACTGGTAGCGGTGTTTGATGGCGTGGCTACTCCTTGGGGATCTGGGCTTGAGGCCTCAAACTTGAATTTCTGTCACCCCAAGGCCCTTCAGGGTCTTCAGGCTGTCAGTGGTTGGGCAGTTGTTGTTGTTGTTGTTGTTATGTGCCGTCGAGTCGCCTGCGACTCATAGCGACCCTATGTACAACAGCCCTAAACTCCTCTCTGTCCTGTGCCAGTCGCACTGTCTCCCACACTCCCATCCCAATTATCCCAGTCGCTGAATCAGTCCGCCTCATAGAGGGCCTTCCTCTCCTGCGCTGTCCCTCCACCCTCCCAAGCATGATGTCCCTCTCCAAGGACCGGTTTCTCCTCACAACATGTCCAAAGTATGTTAGACGGAGCCTCAGAATCCTTGCCTCCAAGGAGCCACCTGATTTAACCCTTTCCAGGACAAATCTGTTTGTTTTCCTAGCAGTCCATGGTATTCTCAATACTCTTCTCCAGCACCACAGCTCAAAGGCATCAATTCTCCTTCTATCCAGTAGTGAAGTCAAAATAGAACTTGGCGACTGGATCATTATGTTGTTACTGTTAGGATTTCTGTTTGTTGCAGAAGAATAGTTCAGTCAGAGCAGAACCAGTAGTATTCAGGATTAAAAAAATAATAAAACTGGCTCCTAGAGAATGAAGCCATATCACTTTTTTCCTTCCTGACACCCGCAGTAAACACTGATTTTCTTGGTATGTCGAAAACTGTACTTAATATCTAAGGCTAAAGCATTTCACCGAATGAGAACTCCAGCCAGAAGTGAACTGCTCTACGTGAAGTCCCCCCGGTGTTTGGATAAATGGTGATGGAGTCCACAGAATCCCTACACTTCTGCTGTTGTTTTGTGTCCTGAGAGGTTTCTGCACAGGCAGCGAATCATTTACTAAATTCCTGTGTGTCTTTCTCTTGCCTTTTAGACCGACAGGCCAACTGTTATAGAATACGACGACCATGAGTATATCTTCGAAGGGTTTTCCATGTTTGCACACGCTCCGCTGACCAATGTAAGTATGTTCTGAGTGGCACACTCCCCCCTGCCCCCCGCACCTGCTTCCTTCGCTGCCTTGCCTTCTTTGTCCTCATCTTCCCGAAAGTCAAAATAGATTTCCTTTCGTCTGATTCCGAGTAACATTTGCTTTGCGTCCCGCGGCATGAGCTGCAGGAAGTGTGCGGCCGTGTCTTCAGCAGCATGTGTCAGGTGGGAGTGTGACATCTGTGCTAATGAGTCACAGGTCAGATCCACGTTCGACGGTGTCAGTAAACAAGTGTCAGAGGAACGTGGTGAGGGTGTGAAAGACTGAAAAGAAGAGCAACTGTGGGGTAACTTGCCAGAGCTATTTTGAGTTGGGTGTCCTTCAAAAGAATGTCAGAAAGTTTTAAGGAGAAACTGTTGTTTAGTCTGAGAACTAGAGCTCGTTCAGAGTGTCCGGAGCCTGAATGAGTGTCATGTGGTTGTCTACCTTAGAGTCCCAGGCGTGAGTCTTCTTTAGGAGATTGTCAGACATGCTCTGTTAATACGAACCCTGATATCCTTCTACTTTGAGGATAATCAGTTCAAATGGAAGTTGTGTGTGAGTTAGACTCTCCCTGCCTCAGTCCTGCCAGTTTTGAAAATTGGCTTGTGGATTCTCTATTCCAGTTGGACATACAGTGAATTAGTGTAATTTAGCTGGCAGCAATGCAGGAAGAGAATGCAGGAGTAGACTACCCCCAATCCAGACAGTCATAAACCTTGGTGAGCTGTAAGATAACTGTGTATCTTTGTCAGAGAAGAAGGTCCTTTAATCCTTTCTGGTTTGGTTGCATGAACTGACATCTGCAGTTGGAAAAGCTGTTTTAGTGCTGTTTATTGAAAACATGCAGCGCTGATTCCTTGGAGGGTAAAGTAAGAATCAGATTTTTATTTTAAAATCCATTCTGCTGTTCATTTTTTTTTTCTTTCTTGAGTAAACATGTTTTCATAGTGGTGATACACATTCAAAACAAATTGTTTTCCTAATGAGATTTTCTTTCTTCATGGTATGTTTTATCCTAGAGAATGTTTTTGGAGAAGATGGCTACATTGTAAATGTAAAAAGAAAATCATTTGATAATACATATTATATCAACTTCCAGGAAGACCGGCTGCTCACTAGTATGGAGAAGGGAGGAATGTTGGACGACTTTTGAACAGTCTATGAAAGGGCGTTAGAGTTTTTGTATTTTGGTTGTTTGCTTGATTGTACATTTCAGTTTCTCTTGTTAGATGTGCAAACCCTTTGTTACACCAACTCTTATAGTTAGCAGCTCTTGAAGGACCCTCATGTGCATTTCCACCATCCTTCTTATCCTCTCCAGCTCTCCAGCTTTTTTTTTTTAGTAATTTTAGTCATTGTTGCACTTTTCTCCCTGCTCACTCCCTCCCTTCTAATTCACTCCTTGAAAAATAAAAGAAAAACTCTTCTGTTGTTATGCAGTTCCTTCCCCCAAGTACACTCCACTGTGCAGCCTTCATTCTGGACTCCTGTCATGACAATAATACCCAATAATATATCCCTTTTAAACAGTTTTCTCCCTCATCTGTTTCAGTGCAGTATACATCGTTCCTCCCCTCCTTCTCCACCTTCCTTCAACCCCTATGTCAGTCCCATTTTACAGCAGTGGTCCTATGCAATATTTTTCCTTTTGTGACAGAGATATTTCACTCAGCATAATGTCCTCCAGGGTTGTCCATTTTGCATATTTCATGAGTTCCTTGTTTTTCAGTGCAGTATAGTAATCCATTGTGTGAATATACCAGAGCTTCTCTATCTATTTGTTTGTTGATGGGCACTTGGGTTGTTTCCAGCTTTTTGCTCTTGCAAACAAAGCCACAATAAACATGGATAGGCACCTCTTCAGCTTTTAAATGAAAATAGACATAACTTAGCATGAGTAGATTTAGAAGTGTTCATTAGTTTGTTTCTTAATTCTCTGAAAATACTAATACAGGGATTATTTGAACTTTTATGACCACCTTAATCAGAGAAGGAAAGGGAGATGGCTTTGGAGAGGCAAGGATTGAAATATTTGTGAATTCTGCTCACTCACTGTGTGATTTGGCATTTCAGTCTTTATAGGCCTGAGTTTTCACCTCTGTAAGAGGCAGTGGTAGCAGTCTTGTCGGCTTTTTTGAAAATGAAGTGAGGTGACACAGAGAGCAGTGTTCAGCATGGCACTTTGCACTTGGTGAGGCCTTGTAAACCTGTTCTACCTCTTATTCTGGAAAAGGTGTTAGGCCTGGGTTTGAATTTCTGTTCAGATTTTTAATATTTGTGTCACTTTGAATAAATGATCCTTTTTTCGTTTTATTTATGATAACTTTGGACTTCAGTGAGAAATGATATTTAAAAAAAAAATCTTCCAGTAAAGGTTTGACATTGGTAGGACACTGAATTAATCACAGTTATCACTGTGTCATTCCCGTCATGTTGATTGTAGGTCATAGTGACCCTATTGTAGCTCATGGTAACCCTAGAAGATAAAGTACAATGGCCTCATAGAGTCTTCAGGGAGGCTGCCACACCTTCCTACCATCAAGTGGCTGGTGGATTTGAACTGCTGACCTTTTGGTTGGCAATTGAGTGCTTAACCACTACACTACCAGTGTTCCTTAGAATAAATAAAAAAAATAAGACTGAATAATTTCTGGCTCTGACATACATATGCTTTATGCAGATGCACGTTGCCTTGTAGAGCAGAGGTGGACCCCGTCATTTATCTTCTTATTGTTCAGAACCGAATCTAGTTTGAAGCTCGGTGTTGTACAGTTCATAAGAATTAGCTCTTTCTCAGAGGCCTCGTGAGTGTGAAATAGCCTTACAAGAAAACAGATTACTGGATCATTTCACTGATCTGGTTTCTTTCTTGCCAGAGAGGGGACATCAGTGAGCAGGGAACACGCATGATAGTCATGATGGAATATCTGCTGAATCCAGTTTTGACAAGTTGTCTAAAGGTGGTTTTTTTAATTGAAGTGGTTTGAAATCTGATTGGTTAAGCATAGGTTATAATTAGATATAGTTCAGGCAAATGTTGATCCTTTTAAAAATAAATTTCCTATTACTTTTAATTTTTGATGTTATTAAGGACTTTGATGGCTTAAGGACTTCATGAAATTATAAAACTGTCTGTGAGATGTGTGTCCTGTTTGTCTTTAGAAGCACAAGAAGTAAACCAAGGTGGGAGTGGAGACAATGAAGGCACAGATTTAGCCTTGATCATTTCTGTGTCACCTTAGGTTGCTTTCCAGTGGCCTCCGTGGGCCCTGGATTTCATCATCCAGCTTCTGGAAAAAGGAGGACAGAAAATGTAGGACTGCTGTGGTTTTTTTTTTGTTTGTTTGTTTGTTTTAGAATGGTGCTTTAGTGTCAGAATATGAGATTGCTTATTTTGTTGTTGTTGTTGTTGTTGTTGTTGTTGTTATATGCTGTCCAGTCGCCTGAAATCCAGAGCTACCCTATGTACAGCACCTCTGAAGCCTGCCTTGTCCTGAGCCAGTCTCACTGATTCCGACACACCAACTCCCATTGCCCCAGTTATTGTATCAATCCATCCCATCTGGGACTTCCTCTCCTGCGCTGTCCCTCCACCTTTCCGAGCATGATGTCCTTCTCTAAGGACCAGTCTCTCCTGGCCACGTGCCTAAATTATATGAAATAGAGCTTCAAAATTCTAGCCTCCAAGGAGATACTTGGTTTTATCTTCTCCAAGACAGACTTACTTGCTTTCTTGGAAGAGTCGGTGTGTATGTTAGAAATATTTTACTGTATTTTGCAGTTTACTGTTTTTCCACTCGGCAACAAGGTGGATTGACACAGTGACTGCTGCAGTGGGATCTAGTGTGTCAGGAAGTGTGAGGATGGCACAGGATGGGACAGGGTACAGATCTGTTCACAAGGTTGTTATAGGGCCCATTTGACTTGATGACAGCCCACAACAAAAGAAGGCTGTCAAGGAGCCCTGACAGTGTAAAATGCTTGATGGTTTTTACCCTTGAGGTTGGTAGTGCACTATGGGACAACGAGGAGGCAGTCTGCTTCCGTGAACATGTGCAGCCTTGGAAACCCAAAGGAGCAGTTCTCCTCTGTCCTCTGGGGTTGCTGGCTGGTGGTAGTGGGTCTGGGCTTGGTTGGAGCTTGATTTTGGCATTAATCGTAACGTTGTTGTTAGGTGCCGTCGTGTTGAATACAGCTCATAACAACCCTATGAGCAGTAGTGTAAATATTTTCCTGCCCTGTGCCATCCTCACAACCTATGACATACTTGAGCCTGTGGCTGCAGTCTCTGTGTCAGTCCACCTTGAGGGTCTTCCTTTCTTTCACTGACCCTCCACTTTTCCTCACATGTCTCTCTCCAAGGAGTAGTCTCTCCTAGCAACATGTTTGAAGTAGGCGAGACAGAGCTTTGCCATCCTTGCCTCCAGGAGCACTCTGGCTGCACTTGTTTCAAGATGTGTTTGTTCTTTTGGCAGTGCATGGGGTATTTATAGTTACTGCCAAAGAATTGTTGTTTTTGTTTGTCTTTGCGTGGATATCGACTCAGTGCGATCCCATGTGACAGAGAGCTGCCTCAGAGTATTTCCTACGCTGTGGTCCCTATGGAATTCTAGTGGCAGAGTGACTAAGTGTTCAGGTGCTAACCTAATGATGAGTGGTCAATCCCATTGGCCACATGACAGAGAAAGATGTAACATTTGGCCTTTGAAAATATTACAGCTTGGGGAAGCTGGTGGGACAGGTGTTATGCAGTGGCACTGGCAGCTGGATGTAGTGGACGGAAATGCGTTTGGTTTTGGTAATCTTTGTAAGATCTGATCACTGGACCTTCCTGCCTGAGGAGCCACTGATAAATTTGAACTACTGACCTTTCTGTTAGCAGCCAAGAGCCTTAACCATCACATTATCAGGTCTCCTTTAGCAAAGAATAGATAACTTGGAAAATACATTGAATCATTGCACACATTCATAACCTCACTCCTTTTAAATGAGAAATTAAGAACTTGGACTGTGACTTCACTTTTTTTTTATATTTCATAATGACAGAAGGTTTGAAGAGATTTCCTTATTAATGTTATTATGAATTTCACTTCATTGAACTCCTGTTTTAAAAATCTAAGAACTAAACTTTGTTTCTTAGACTGAGATTTCCAGTAGATGGCATCCTAAGACCTTTTAAATGTTTATCATGCCTTTTCCCGATTGAGTTAAAATATGTTTTGTTTCTGATTATACTTGTATAAAATCATCTTATGGGCAGATTTAGCTGCAAGAAAATGCCAGCTAACATGTATCTTGCACCTCTTAGATTTCTTCTTCCCCAGCTAGTTAACCAAGTCACTGCAGTGGCTTCCCTCTCTTTCTCTCTCTCTCTCTCTCTCATTCTTGCATTCATTCAGAAAAGTATCGGGAAAGCCTATGGTGTCTGGTGATATGTTATTAAGACAGCCCAGACGTGGGTTTTTCTCCTGCTGAGCCTTCGTTCAATTTCACACATACCTTGAGTCTGAGAACAGGTGATGGAAGGTGTTCACTGATGAGGAAGTTCTGGGATCTGGAGCACGATTCCCGATTCATCAGCCACAGGGTACCTGAGGCACAGTACCCATCCCTCCCTGCCTTAGTCCCTCCTCTTTTGAAATGGAAATAATAATCAACAAGTCTGTGCCACAGGAATATTGTGGTGATAATGTGAATGAAGATATATGATCCACCTCGCTCAGTAAATGTTAGCGAATTCTTCATTTTAATATGGTCGCCATTGCCGTGATTGCTTTTTGCCCAACACCAATTAGGCAGGATTGTGTGCAATCCAGTAATTTAAGAATCAAGAATGATCAGTCGTTGGCCTGCTACACCTGGTCTGTCTTGACAAGCTAAAAATTCAGAAGGGTTTTTAAGGCCTGAGCGATTTGGAAAGTTTAAAACAAAAGAAAAAAAACAACCCACAAAACCCACTGCAGTTGTGGTTTCATGAATTCTTGAGAGCTAATAGATTTGCTTTAAATGGGTTCTTGGCGTGTTTGTGTTGCTGCTGTTAATACCGTTAATTAAGCCCCAGCATTTTCCAGGTTTCCTGTAGAGCTTGGGCCGGCTGGGTTCTTGCTGTTTAAATCTCACAGTTGCATTCAAGCTTCTCCAGCAGTGTCATTAACGTCTTAGATTAAGGTGCACATTTCTTCTTTGGTTCCTGGTCTTCTGGGTCAGGTAAGAAACAGTGAGAGCCGGCAAGAAGGCGTGCAGACTTGACCCTCTCTTCTTCTGATTGCAGATTCCACTGTGTAAAGTAATTAGATTCAACATAGACTACACCATTCATTTCATTGAAGAGATGATGCCTGAGGTAAGAGAAAAGATTATTTAACAGCTTGATGTCATTTGCCCTTTTGTTTATTTCACACATATTTTTTTAAAGCACTGAACTCGGTCAGCCCTGGCTTTTTACCAAAGAAATAAACACCCCTCAAGTATCGAAAGGGTCAGTGAGATGCAGCGCTGCTATCAAGGTTAAAATTCAGGTCATTTCCAACTCATTGACCTGCTTTTGAACCCGTCTCTCCTCCTGTTGCATCTGCTGATAATAGCTTTACATCTGTTTCTAGTTTGTTTTGCGCAGGGGACAGATTTTGGTTCCTGGTCATTATCAGGCAGGAAATTAGAAGAGTGAAACGGAATCTGATAGCTGTAGGAATAATCTTATGCATTATCTCCAGTGACAAGATCAATGCTCGGTTCATTATTCTTCCCATATATTTACATATTTTTCCTAATTGTTTTTCATTGCAAATGCTCAGCAGCAGATTTATCTAAATATATGCAAGAGATTGAAAATTCCAAAGCAAGATTAATGTGAATCTCCAAATGATTCATTGCCTCATCCTGAACTTGGTGATGTCAACAAATCACACCAAGAAGTAACAGCTAGATAGCCGGCAAGCCTGTGCACTTAACACTGTGGGAGTCGGGGTCGATTTCTGAGCCCCTGGCTCTTCTTACACACGGTGTTTTATAGCACAGTGCTGTCACGGGCCGAGGAGCACCGAGGGGAATTGATGGGCCAGCGTGCCTGCCTGGTGTGCGCGTTCCTCATCCCGAGCAAGTCCTCTGTTAATTTTACCTGCCTTTCAGAAAGGAAGCGGACGGACCAGCCCTTCCTTCTCCAGCTGGGAAGGGTTTTGCTGCTTCCCCCTGACTACAGAGGTCATAAGCTTTCATTTGCTATTGTAAAAGTTTATTACTTCTGGCATGCTCTCCCACGGGGTGATTTATGAACCCTGAGCAAAACAAGTGGGAGGAAGAGTTACGAGACGAGTCTCACTTGCACATAGATCATCCGTCCCGTGTGTTTACAGGAGACATTTTGGTGCAAAGTTTTGTAGTTTTTCTGAGCGCATTATTTGCCTTCATTAAGAATTGTGAACTTTTTTTGGCATAGAGACTTCTGATGGATGCTAGCTTTCACACACTGATTCCAGGTGCATTCACTGTGTGGTTGGGCAGGGGGGCTGAGGTGGCTCAGTCAGAGCCCGTTCGGGCAGGTGTGTTAAATGCTGGCTCACCCAACAAGTGAGGTAAGCGCAGGCTATTTGGGCTTACTTACCAACCTATAGTGGACACTTTGACATTCCTTTCACCACATCACAGATTCTGCATCTAGATATGGCTGGCTTCTCTTTCTCAACCCCATAGAGCCTGCCATCACAATCAAGGCTCCTGTTCAAACAGTCTCTGACAGGGACAGAGTGAGGACCCGGTGGAAAACATGTGAAACTCAGTACAGTGTAGTGAGTAAGCACACGGAAGCCCGTGCTTACCTTGTTAGAAGGTAACCTGTCCCTGGGCGCACACACACGTGTGTGTGTGTGGGGGGGGGGGGGGGGGTGGGTGTTGAGAGAGAGAGAGATCTGGATGAAGAGAAAGTCTCCAAGAGATATTGACATATTTTCTAATTGCATTCAGAAAATATAACATAAGCGAGGCATTTTAGACACCATATCATTTTATTTGTGCACTGGGAAGAGTCTCGCTGACGTTTTCATAGCCATCCTGATGGCCTGGCTGCCTGGATGAAGTGGGGGACAGCTGTTCCTTTCTGCCAGAAACCAATGGGCTGATGCTGGGATGGGGCCAGACTCTGTAGGCAATCACATAGTTTTGGTATAATTTCAACAGAAACTTATTAAGATACTTAACTAGACTAAATTAAACCTCCAATTAATATGTATGTGTTGTTAGGTGCTGTTGAGTCAAGTAAGACTCATACTGACCCCGTCAACACTGGATCTGAACCCTGTTTTACTGATATTTTTGTTTCTTTTTCAGAATTTCTGTGTAAGAGGATTGGAACTGTTTTCACTGTTTCTATTCAGAGATATTTTGGAATTGTATGACTGGAACCTTAAAGGTAAATAACAGGATTTAAAGACCAAGAAGGCGATGCTTTTAGCAGAAAGTTGTGGTAATGGGGCAAGGGGTTTGAGCATAACGGAAATCCCTTTTATTCTTTTAAGTACCCTGGAAGATGTGTGTTATTCATACATGCTGTCACGCTTTCTAGCATGCATGCTTGCTAACGTTGTTGTGTGCTGTCAAATTGGTACATAGCTGACCTTCCCGGGGGTTTTCAGAGGCAGTAAATCACACGAGAAGAGATTGTCCATCCTTCTCTGTTGGAGCAGCTGGTGGGTTTGAACTGCATGCCTTTGGGATTGCAGCACAGCTTCTGACCACTAGGCCACCAGAGCTTCCCATTATTAGACTCAAGCTCCCTGTCATTAGGCGTGAGTGTTTCTGGGTCCACAGTTCCTTATTACCTGTGAAGAGGATCCCTGTTCTTAGGAGCAGCTTCCTTGATTTGTTGTGACAAAGACGGTCTCTCTAGTTACTGTGGCAAGCTTAGTGAACATTGTGCTTGATGACATAATCCATAGGCAGTTGCATGGCTGACCCGGTCCACCAGCTGCCCTGCGAGAGAAAGACCTGCTGGGCAGTCAGCTGTGAGTCGGTTCTGACTCACAAAAGTGAGCTTGAGAATTTTTCTTTTTCGGTGAATTTTTTTTTTAATTTTTATTTTTATTTTATTACTTGTTTGTACCGTCAAATCAGATCTGACTGGTATAGTAGGAGATTGTCCCTCCTTCCCCGGCAGAGCATCTGGTGGATTTGAACCGTGCACCTCTGGAATTGTAGTGTTTTTCGGTAAACTTTAGCAGACTTCTCTCAAAACGACAGTGTATTAGGACAGAGAGCTCCAGTCAGCCGTTAAACACACTCATCCCCTCCTGATCCCCGATTCTTAGGTAATAGTTTGCTCTTTTGGAAGTGTCTGGATCATAACAAAGAGTTACGTAATTTTAAACAGTGTGTTGATGAATGGCTTTACAAACCAAGTTTCCCTTACTAGTTTTGCATTTTTTTTTTCACTGTACCCCTTAAAACAGGAGAGAATTAAAATGCAAGCATCTTAAATCATGCAGTAGTTCAATGATATAAAAAAGTTTTTATACTTTGGAGCTGCTTCCCTGTGTGTATTTGCTGCATGACGCCTGTGTTCTCCCGATCTCTAGTGGTCGCCACATGGCTGTCTTTTCTGGAAGCGTGTGGCAGTTCTCCGTGATTGATTCAACCGTAGAGGGAGGGAGGGGTGGACATTTTTTATATCCCCACTCCTGGTGGTGGTATTTGTAGTTGTCATAAATCAAGGGAATTAAATTGCAGTGTTGGTTGGCTGCAGTGTTTTATTTTCTTTCTTTCTTCTCCCCTGTCCATTTGTTTGCTTTAGGTCCTTTGTTTGAAGACAGTCCTCCCTGCTGCCCACGGTTTCATTTTATGCCACGTTTCGTAAGGTTCCTTCCAGGTAAATCTTTAGGGGTTGTCAGTAACCTGGTGCAATAGTGTATTTGAAAATCAGCCTGCCACTCTCTTTACCATCTTTAGAGTCAGTGCTTCCTCTTCAGACCCTTCTTCAACTTTTGTTGTTGTTATGTGCCATCGAGTAGCCTGCGACTCACAGCGACCCTATGTACAGCAGTTCTGAAGCCTGCCATGTCCTGAGCTAGTCTCACTAATGCTGACACACCAACCTCTATCGTCCCAGTTACAGTGTCCAGCTATCTCATCCGGAGTCTTCCTTTCCTGGGCTGTCCCTCCATCCTTCTGAGCATGATGTCCTTCTCCAAGGACCGGTCCCTTCTGGCCACACACCCAAAGTATGAGCTGGAACTTCAGAATCCTAGCCTCCAGGGAGAAACTTGGTTTCACCCTCTGCATGACAGACTTACTTGTTTGTGGTTAGGTAAAATTTTTACATATGGATCTTCCCCTTGTATTCTTTATGGTATTCTCAAAACATGAGCACTGGGAGAATTGACTTTTAAATATTGAAAATCTGCTTTATCATAGAAATATTTACATCAACAAGGAAAGTGCTTGTGATGTAAAAAATTAGTATTGTGGCAAGTCAGAAAACTCTTACACATTTAATATGGTTGTAATGGTGCTTAAAAGTAATATAGTAATGGTTGTATTAGGGTGGAAGAATTGTAGGTCATTTTTCCCTATTTGTTGACACATGCACTTTTATTTATTTTATAGCAGAAAAAAAGATGTGTGGTAATTTATTTTCCCACTAATTGAAATTGCCTTGTAAGAGTTTAACTGTGAGATGTGTCACAATATTTAGTGCTTTAAAAAGTGGTTAGGTTTTTAATGAAATCCCTTAGATGCATGCCCTTTTTTATGTATAAAATTTTATTCTCTGATATTTCTCCTGTTCTCTGTCTTAGTTTTCTAGGCTTGCCATAACTAAATACTTGTAGAGTGGGTGGCTTTAAAAAACATAAATGACTTACACTTTCGTAGGCGAGGAGTCTGAATTCAGGGTGTGAGCTGGGCCAACCCTCTTCCTTACCTCCTCAGCTCCTGGAGCACCAACAGTCTCTTGGTGTCCTTGGATTGCAGCTTTTTCTGGTCTGTCACGTGGTGATTCTTTCCCTGTGTGTGACTTACCATGCCTGTTCTCTCCCTTTATAAAATGTCTTCTACTCAAGAATGAAATCCTTAGCAGATGATTTCTGCAAAGGAAAACCCTGCTTCAAACAAATTCTGTTTCACAGGCCCCGGGGTTAGTACTTCTTAGGGGCACGGTTCAATCTGTAGCATAGTTTACACTCTTTGTTGCTCTAAGACTTCCTGGGTGGTTACTATGTTAGCATATTCTGTCAAGTTTCTCAGTAAAGTTCAGTTACCAACCTATTGTTAGGTGCCATTGAATACCTACTCGGAATGACCCTATGTGCAATAGACCTGAACCCTGTTCATATCCTGTGCAATCCTCGTTATCTCTGACACAGTTGAGTCCATTTCTGCAGTCACTGTGTCAGTCTACCACACTGAAGATCTTTCTTTCACCGACCTCTACTTTTTTAAGAAACAGCTTCTTCATGAGAGCTACAACTTCACCGTCTTTGCCTCTAAGGAGAGCGCTGGCTGCACTTTTTCCAAAGGAATTTCCCTTTGTTATTTTGGCAGCCTGTGGGATATTCAGTGCTCTTCTCCAACATTACAACTCAAAGACAGGAATAATTCTTTTACCGTCATCCTTATTCATTGTCCACCTCTCACACTGTAGCAAGTGATTGAAAAGACCTTGGTTTAAGTCAGGTGCACCTTAGTCTTCAAACCGATATCGTTGCCGTGACTCTCATTCACCATTCTGCCCAAAACTTTACAGTTCCTTGACTTTTCCTGTTGTATTGATTATTATATCTTGGGTACCTACTTCTCCCAGGATAAAACTTTTGGACCATGACATCACCCTGGATGAACTGATCTCTGGAATCTAGTTCTAGTATCAGACTTTTTGATAAATTTTCTCAACTCTAGCCTTCTTATGTCCTAATTCTCTGGTTCTACTGGAATCTTCCCTTTTCTCTATGTGGGAAGTCCTTGATTTTAAGTCCTATATTGTGACACTTGGGTTTCTACACCTTCCCTGTGTATGTCATCAGTTCAGCCATATGGGTGTTCTTTTCTATGTGGGCTGCTCAGTGATACTGAAGAAAAGACGGTGCTCTGAGTAGTTATTCTGTGTGTCAGTTAACATCCTATCCAGTTCCATAGAGCAGCAGTTTAAAAACTCCAGCCATATGTTCATATTCTCAGCAAGCCCCTTGTGTCTGGGGACCCTCCTTTGAGTCATTGTCAACCTCTGGCTTCCCCAGGTGTGCTGGTTTATTCCCAGTCATACTTTGCTTCAGTGCCTGGTGTTCCCTCCACCCTCTCCTCACCCACTGCCTCAGTGAAGCCAAGGTCAGCCTTTGGAGACCAGACCTGGTGGACTTGCTTCATTTCTTCTCAGGTGGTGTCTGGACTACTGACCTTGTCTGTCTTCTGGACTCTCCGTACTTCCCTCCTGGTGGTGTGATCTGTCCTTTGTGGTTTTTGTGTCTTATCTACTCAGTCTAGGGTAGATTATCCTTAAGATTTTGTTCTTTATCTTTTTTTTTTTTCCTTCACTTCACTCAGAGTGAATTTTCTTTATTTCAAAGTAGTATTACTAAATTTTTAGGATGACTCTTAGTGCTTATTCTGTTTGGAAAATTACTTCAAAAGCTATTTTCTTCTTTACTTTTAGTTGTATTTGATTGAGAATTCCCTCCCCCCTTTTATTTTCTGTTCAGTTGAAGGCATCTTTGCTCTTATAGTGGAACTGTAGCATTAAACATTTTGGAAGGTAGAGTAAACTGTGTGTGTTGATTACCATGATTACTCTTTACTTTCTGTTTGTATCTGCCTCTGGGCATTTTATGACCAAACAGATTTTTGAGAGAAAGTGGATGGTTTAAAAAAACTCAAGGAAAAAAAATAAGTCTTGTGGTGAGTCTTAACTCTGTGATATTTCAATTCTCATGAAAATAGGTTCCATAAGTGTGTGATGAGAACATTTAAATGATATTGTAGCCTGGATTCTCTGGAGAAGAAAGAGAGGTGTGAGTATATAATATATACAAATATATATGCAGAGAGATTTATTGCAAGACAATAGCTCACACAGTCATGAAAGCTGGCATACCTCAGATCCATGAGTTGGGGGTCAGGGTGGAGGCCTCTCCTTACTTTCCTGGTTGCAGGGCCGAGGGCTGACCGCTCACAGAGCTGCTACCTCATGTCCCAAGAACCGAGATTTGATGAGTTCTTTGCAGGATTGACAGAGACACACACACAGTGAAAAAGAAGCCTTTTCCAGAACATTCTTTGTGGAGGTAGTTCAAATCCCCTGAGGGAACCTCCAGCAGCATCTGCCAGATTGAAGGATGTTATGTCATACCGTGAAGCCTGACCTAGCCAAGCTGATACATAACAATAGCCATCACAAGTGGTTATTTTTGTTTTTAAGAAAAAGGTCTGTTGAACAGAATTTAGGTTTCCATTAGATTTCTTTGTGAATATATACATACTAAAAAGTCTGGAAGGATACAGAAAAATATCTAATGCAAAGAGGGTACTGGGTGGCACATTATGATTTAGATGTTCTTTGGCATCTGACTTCATTAATGACCATTTACAAAATGCAGAATTAGAAATATGTATTTTTATATCATGGTAACTATAGTTTGCATCTTATTTTGTTAATAATTCATCGAGTGAATGAATGTCTTATAAGATCATGTTGTGTCTTTAAAGATGTAGTATGCCAGGTTTGTTGTCAGAAGAGCTGTATTGGTTTATGCTGCAGTGAGAAATTCTTGCTTTTCTTTCCATTTTTGGGTCTTCCCTTCATCCTTCCTTCCTTCATTCATTTTTTTTTTCTTTCTAATTTTCACTGAGCTCCCCGAGACTGAAGAGTAAACAGTATCTGTCTTGTATCATTTGTGCTGACATACTACTTGGCTCATAGCAGGAACCTAATAAATACTTGTCTGCTAGCTTTAATTAATTGGTCAAAGTAGGGCCTCTTTTAAATATTCATGTATTCGGTTACTTACGAGATTGAATGTGTTTTTCAAATGTTCTTTAAATAAAATCTAAAATATAGCTTAAGTGCTATAAAGTGGGCAGACAATAAATATAGAACCCAGTGCATTTTTTTTTAAACTTTGTATTGTAATTTGAGTGACAGTTTACAGAGCACACTTGGCCCATTCAACAGTTCCTAAGCGTTTGTTTTGTGGCTTTGATTCCAGTCTGCACACTGTAGCAGCCCCCTTCCCTCACTCTGCCTTTTGTTCCGTTCATCCTTTTTTCCTCTCCTTGCCTGCCGTCTGAGCTGTAATCATGGGCACATGCTGCCCTTCTGATCTTGTGTGACTGGTGGCTCTAAGGAGTGCCTGCTTCACTGTTGTGTTTATTTACCTTATACACCTGTCGTTTGTTTGGATCAAAGTTGAGCTGTGGAGGTGCATTCACTTCCAGACTGGTGGGGAGACTAAGAACTCTATTCCCAGGGGTTCCGCCCCTCTCTCTCTGACCAGAAAGTCTGGTATTTTTAATGAGCATGAATTTTGGTCCCCAGTCCATCCAAGACCTTCTAATGTGATCCCTTTCAGAGTAATTAGCAGTGATAGCAGGGCACCATCTAGTGCTTCTGACCTCAGGGATGTGGAGATTGAAGTTCAGGTGGTCCCTTAGTCCTTTGTAATTGTTGTTTCCATCCATCTTGATTTTCTTTACTCCTCTTTACTTTGCATCAGGAAAAAAAAACAAAACGAAACCCTCAGTGAATTTTGACAATGTAAATGTGACCTTTTTCTTAGCATCCAGATTGTTAGGTGCTGTTGAGTTGTGTGTAGCGACCCTATAAAAAACTGATCTGAACCCTGTCCTATCCTGTGCTGTCCTCACACTTCCTGACAGACT